GCCAGCAGGACTGGACGGTGGGGCTCGCTCGGCCCGTGAGATCAGGTGGGGCTTTGAATGGCACTTCTCGGTGGTCATGTCTCACTGCGGTGCCCTGTGGTGCCCTCCGGAGCAAGGCTGCTTGCTAGGAGGCAGCAGATCCAGAGGGTGGCAATCTCCGCTGCTGCAGCGCAGCCTGCGGTCTGGAGCAGAGGAGTTGTTTGTCTGGTTACGGCAGCTGCTCTCAATTCCTCAGAAAGGGGAACCTGCCCTCCCTCGTCAACAGCTCGTGTGCTGGGGCAGGCGGGAGGGATGCTGGGGGTCACAGCAGTGCAAACAAAGCTGCGGTGAGGTGGAGAGCAAAGGCTTTGAATGCATGGCGTGGGGGAGGAAAAAATGCCAAGAGCAAACAAGCCCTGGCCCTTGGGTGTTGCTCTGGGGCTGGGTGAGCTCCCCATCCCCCCTCACCAGCAAGAGCGACTCCAGCGCCAGCAGCTCCGAAGCCCATAGTGCCGGGACGCGGCAGGCTGCGTTCTGCGGGATGTGGCGGGGGGTGTCGGGAGACCTCACTCATCGCCGTGGTTCAGTCACCATCGGCGTTTTCCCCAATCGGTGCTTCCTTCGTTAACGCTCTGGTTTTGGCAGTCGGCCCGTTGCAGGAGTGCTGCGTGGCTGGGGATTTCCTCCTGATGGAGGGTTCTGTAACATTATCTGATACTATCGAATCTCTCCGGCTAAGTACAGTGTAGTGTTTCCTAAAACACCATTCTGCAAACTTGGAGCTGCTTGTTTCACCCCTCAGCCGTGCTGTAGGAGAGGCCTGGAAGGCCCTGCCTGCTGGCCCCTTGCCATCTCTCTTCCTGGCGCGTGTCGGCACCCCTCTGATTTTTGGAAGGCTCTTTCCTCTGCTTCTTGCTCTGCACAGCTCTGACCCCGCCTCCCCTCCCAGCCTGGCACGGGCACTGCGGGAACGCCAGCTGCCATCCCCACCAGCTGGAGGATGAGGGGTCTGGAGGAGGGCCCGGTGCTGGCTCCTGGGGTCAGGGAGTGCTGGGCTCCCCTCCCCTGCTGGGGAGGTGGGGTAGCTGGACCCTGCGCGGGGTCGCCGTGGCCGGCTCCCTGGGCACAGGCATGTGGCTGAGCGATGGCTGCTGCCAGCGCGGCTCCCTGGGCTCTGCGGGTTTCCCTCCAGCACCCGCCCCGTCCACCTCCAGGCTGGGAGCACAGGAAATAACTCATCCCCGCTCTCAGGGTAAACATCTTTCCCAAGAGTGAAACTGCCCAGCCAGGACAAGTGCGGGGCTGTAATTTACCCTCCCCGTGAGCACTGGGCCATGCCCTCCCACGCTCCACCCAGCTCAGCCCTCACTCTGATCCATCCAGGCCATCCCAGCTTTGTGCCACGGACAGGTCCTGAGCCCGGCAGGGCTGAGGGCCGTGCTCGCAGGCGCGTGGGCACGACTTGGTTCCCATGAGGGGCTGCTCAAGCATGGTGGGACAGGACTCTTCCCACCCTACTGGAAGGCAGCTCCCCTGAAGCGCCCCCGGCAGGCACACAGAACGCCCTCATATGGGAGGGGAAGAAACTCCCCATGGCTGGGGACTAAAAGACCCAAAGCTGCGGCTTCCATCCCCAGCCA